ACCGTGTACTAAATATAAAATCTTGCCTTGTTACAAGTCTAAAATTTATAATAAAAAATATATACGGGGAACCGCCCACTTCTTCAAAAAAAAAAAAAAAAAAAAGATAAGTATTTGTAATGGTTAGGATTCTAAACTGATATTAAAATAATATTGAAATAATACTAACTTATAATAAATTTAATATACAATATATATACAGTATATATATTTATATTTAACTTAACTAGCTAAGTCATGTCTGTGTGTTTATTTATTTAATTCTCATATGTTTTATATCATGTATTATAGAAAAAAACTACCTATAAATTATTCTAAACATTACTAAATTATATCAGATTTTACTTCCATATTGGGTTATTGCTATTAACTATAGACTTGAAGATCTACATATGTCAAGGCTAATATGCTAAAGCTTCATTAGTATTATTATTGTATATTAAGTTCTATTTCTAATCAGGAATATATTAATAGGAAGTATAAAGAAAAGAAACTGGAAGTAGTACCTATTAGGTAAATAGAACTTCTGTAAAAAAAATTCTTTTAAACCCAACTATTTGCAGATAGGTATACTATTTAGTTTCTATCTTATTAAAACTACTCAAAAATCTTTAAGAAACTTATCTTACAGATTTACTGCCTATATATTGTTTCAATTATCAGCACTTGCTACTGTTTTGGTTATCTTTCTGAAAATAAGTAATTATTAGAGTGATATATTATTGAATTGAAATAAAGTCTTTTTAAAAACTTGTAAAAAGAGATACTGGATATTATAAAGAAACGATTATCAAGCCATCTTATTGAAAGCAGCCATCTCATATATTTTGTAATTTCCAGTGATCATTGTAACACCAACCAGATGATTGTTACACCACAACACATTTTTTAGAAATCATAATCTCAATACTTGCTGGATCAGTATATTAAATTACTAATTTGATATTGAAACAATACTATTAAAAATTCTAATAATAATTTATATAATTATTATTTTTTCTAATTATTTTTTTACAATAATTTTTTATTAATTCAATTAAATTTTTTAAGATATTATTTGAAATTAATTTTTATCTATTCTTTATAAATAATTTTAATTTATTTAAATTTCATATATTTTTTTTAAAATACTAGCTAGGTCTTGCCCAGCATACTTTATTAGTTTGTGATGTTTACATTAGTTATTTACAGATTTGTATACATTAATGTTATAACTTCACTTCTATTTATATGTCAGACTATATTAGAAATATCAAATATCGGCTTTAAGCTATTTGATTTATTCTCACTACTGTGCAGTGAGAAAAGAAATCAAAAACTAATGTGTCAAGGCTCCATTATTTTATTTAAATTTTAAATTTTTTTTAAAAGCTAAATATATTACAATATAATTTTTATTAATTATTTATAATTATAATCAATATATAAATAGTTAGTTAACTAATGCTATTTGCTTTTTTACTTAATATATCAATTTATATATTATATATATCATATTAATAAATTTTTTTATTAATATTTTTATAGTAACTTTAAGTAGTTTCTTTCTTGATTTTATTTTTGAAGCTTAATACAAAATATGTTCTTAGGATTCAGTTATAGACATGTACTTTCTAATAAATACTTCAAAAGTAATTTCTATAGTTGGCTTAAGCTGCCAAATCCAGAGGAATATTGCCAAGTGAGATACAACTTCTAATTTTTTCAATAGATATTTTATAGGTTTTTGGTTACTTAAGCCATCAAATCTAAGTACATGAATATTAAACAGGGCACAACTTCTATATATTAGTAAGTAACTATAACATTTTTTTTGATATTTGTTTTTATTAAATTCCATTAGTTTTTTTATTATATCAAATTCAAATTCAAATTATTAAACAATCAATTAAAAATTGCAAATATATTGTTATTAAAATATAATTTTACAAAATAACTTTTATATTTTAAGTTATTGTCTAGTTAAATCAAAAAAGTTTTTTAATATAATTTTAATAATGACTATATTTTTTTCTAGGATATTAATTAGACTTTGATTGTTATTATCTTTTTAAAGTAGTAAAGATTAGACTTATCCTTTTTGCAAAATTCATTTTATACAAAGATATTTTTTTATCTTTAAAAATTCAATGAATTAATTGTAAATTCTTATACTATTGATTAGCTGTATTTTTAAAAAATTGAAAAATAGTCTTGTTTAAAAAAAAGTCTTTGTTCAGTTATTGTTTTGATATTTATTGTTTATTTTAATTTTTTTTTCTTTTGTTAAAGAGTTAATATTGATATTTTTTTAAGAACCTTATTTTTATAATCAAAGAGATTTTAAATATTATAGATGGAAAGATTATCACATTCAATTTTTTTGTCAAAGTCTAAATAAAAATAAAAAAATTTTTTTATACAATATTTAATTTTTTATAAAATTTTATTTGAAATTACTTATAAATAACAAACTTTTTTTGACTTTTTTACTTTACTGATTTTTTTTAATTTTGAAAAGTTATTATAAGTAATTATAAAAAATATTTTGATTATTATATAAATTTTTTTTTGTAATATATATACATTTATTTCATTAATATAATCTTAATTCTTACTGTTTAAAATAAGTAATAACTGTCATTTCAATTTCAATCTACATAGATAAGGAGGAAAAAAAAATTAGTTAGTTCTATTCTTTTTACCTTTAATTTAGCAATAAGCTGTACAGTAGGAAAGTTCCTTAGTGAGCTTTATTTAGGAAAAATGAGTGGAAAAATAGATTTATATATACTTAATCAAATAAACGTAATAAAGCAAGGTGTACGCCACCCAGTTAAAAAAAAAAAATTCTTTTTACCTTTACATTTTAATATAATATATATATATATATTTTATAGTGGAACGTGCGCATGGCATGTAATCTTTATTGATATATTATATCTAGATAGATACCAAGTGTCTTCTACAAATTAACTGTAATGGTTTTTGAATAAAGTTATGTTACAACTTTTATGTCTTCTACAGTTAATCTGCAGCTTAACATTGCATTAGTACATATATTTCTATAAGATTAGCTACGCTAATCACTAATATAACCTGGCTATGCATTCAACTATCACGTAGATGTGTTCACACTCCAGGTGGGACTTTCGCAGGGGGGGGGGATCCTATCACTAGTTTAAACCCACCTAAACCTGCTGATTCATTATTGCAGGGAGCAAGTTATTATGAAATATTATTATAGAGACTAACTCCAGTATTCCAGTTACTGTTATCATCAATCCTCGAGTTGTGCCACTAGCATAGCACAGCACTACCATTTTCACCACCTGTAAAACTGGTGTCCTTGCTTGGATTCCGATTTAATCTTGTAGGCCCTCACTAGACACACTTGGCTTAATGATTTTTGCCTAGATTCTCACCACCTATGGCTGATGCCTTGCCTTTTGGCCATATTATTTTAATATAATATTTTTATTTAAGTTTAATTAATCATATATATACAACTTGTCATTGCAATTTTTTTTAATAATTTTGACTTATATTGTATATTGTAACAGTAAAAAATAGCAATTCTGTTATTTATATACAAGTATTATTGTAACATATCATATTGCAAATAAATAGGTTCACTTTGTACTAATTAGTTAAATGGTTTGTAATTTTTAATTGTATTTTTTTTGTTTTTTTATAAGCAAAAGAAATAATTGAATTAGATCTATATATTATTACAAGTTAAACTCAAATATAATACTAGAAAAAAAGAATATGAAAGGATTTGTTATACATATAAATTTTATTCATAAGCACCTTTATTCAATAAAAGATAAGTATATTTATATATATTTCATTATCTCAATAATTTCAATTATTCTAATTATTCTAATTATTCTTTTATTTTCATCATGATATCCAATATAGCCTCGCGTAAGAAATTATTCATATTTTCCTATAAAAAATATAGCATACAAAGTACATATATTTGTATTATTTAAATTAATTTTCTCTTCAAATTCAAAAGACAAAATACATTAAAATAATGATTATGGTTTAAATTCAATAAAATTTATTAGATTAAGTTTGTTTAAAATATTATCTACGTAATTTGAAAAAACAATTTTATAAATATATTTAGATGATCCATATGAATAATTTTATTTGTATCCCTAAAATACAAGTACTGCCACGCAAGATTATTCCGGAGATTACCTAGGAAAGCCTGTTATTTGTTTTCGAGGCCTGACTGATGAATACCGTGGCGTGCAAAAAACGTGCGAAAAACATGAATGTGTCGCAATATTCAGAAATGTCTACTAAGAATGAGTAAATTCTCCCTTTTAGTCAAGAAAAACACTCATTATTGTTCAATAAAAGTACCAGAAGTTGATACAATCAGGTTTATTGATGCGAGAGATGTTACTGTGCATTGTATGCAAACGGATCAAAAATGTATTGTTATAAAAAAAATTATATATAATCAAACAAAAGAACATTTGCACTAATGAAAGCTTTTTAAAAACGAGATCGTTGTAAATGTACAACCATTAAAAATAATTTGCGCTTGCGAAATGTCTCGTCAATTCATTCCAAAGTTATGTAACGATTTAATAGAACTTCTGGAGGAGGATACCAACTATTTTGACGTGATCATCGAAGTTGGCGAAGAGATAACAAACAAGAAAATGTTTCAAGCACATTCAGTAATTCTACACTACAGATCTCCATATTTTCGTAAAGTGCTGGCGAATTCCACAAGGAACGGAGAAAATGAATATGTGTTAAGGTTACCAAATATCTCGGGAAATATATTCCAAATTTTATTGAGGTAATTTTTTTTTATATTTTAAAGACCGAGCTGCGTTGCTAATTTTTAATTTTATTTTATGCGTGAAAGATATATATACAATGGAAGTCTTGTTATAGACTCACTCACCAACCTCGACATCTTTCGCCTTTTGATCGCCGCCGATGATCTCTATCTCCAAGAGTTAGTTGCTCATCTTCAAACCTACATACTGGACACACAAGAATCTTGGTTGCGTCATCACTTCGAACTTGTACATCGCAATAGTTTCAAACATGAGGCCTTCGTTCTACTGCAACAATTTTGTACTGATATCATGATTCAAAGTCCTGAAAGTGTATTTCAATCAGTAGATTTTAATTCCATCCACGAGAATTCATTGATTAGTTTAGTACAAAGAGATGATTTGCGAATGGAGGAGATTGAAATATGGCAACATGTACTTGATTGGGGAATTGCTCAGTGTCCAGCCTTACCTAGCGATATCAACGAATGGACTAATGAAGATTTCAAAACTTTGGAGAATTGTCTTGTAAGATGTCTACCCTTCATCAGATTCTTCCACCTGTCATCTCGCGAGTTTTTCGAGAAAGTTCGTCCGTTTGAAAAGATTATACGGCAACGCGTTTACGAGGATTTGATGCAATACTTTTTGGTGCCGGGAAGCGATCCAAACACGGAAATTTTGCCCCCAAGACAAGGGATGATTGATTCTACGCTCATTACCAGTAAACATGCATCGTTGCTTTCTTCCTGGATTGATCATAAACATCAGTGTTCAAAACTGCCTCTTGGGTTTTCTTATTACGAAATCTACGAAAATCCGTACGAATTTAAACTATTGCTCCGAGGTACACGTGATGATTTTTCCTTGGCATCATTCAAGGGATTATGTTATGATAAACCAATGACGATTGTGGTAATGAGGGTCAAGGGAACTGACGAACTAGTGGGAGGGTTTAACCCGAAATCGTGGATTCCGGGGGAGAACGTTTATGAGTATTCGGAAGATAGTTTTTTGTTTGCATTTAGGGGATCTAACATTTCTAGGGGAGGGATGGGCGTAAAGAACATTATATTGAGTAGAGTAGAACAACCTACGCATGCGTTATATCAGAGTGCAAATAATGGATTGACATTCGGTGGTGGTGACCTGGAAATGTATGGAGAATATTTTAATGAGGAGAATAAAATTTACTGCAATAAGTATGAGTACGAGAGGTGCATTAGGCAGGCTGGCGGTAAGTTTACAATTGATGAATACGAGGTGTTTCAAATTGTAATGAAATCTTATAGATTGTAATATAATTGAATAGAAAAGATGCTAGCATGAACTTATGAATTTTAGTATAATTAACTATATAATAACATAATTCTTTTATTTCTACGAGGTGTTCTTTCACTAAAAAAAAAAAAAGATCAATAGATAATCATTATGATGGGTTATTAGTCGAATCGCATTTCGTCATGTAAAATATGTCTTCGCAAGGGATGGCTCTTTGCTGTAATTATTTTAGGGGATATAAAACATACAGTATGCCAAGAAATCTTTTATTTACATTTGAATAATCTAAGATTTAATTATGTATACTGACGACTTAATTTATATACTATATATACTGTATATTGTTTGTTAAAATCATATTAATATAAAATTAAATACAATTCAATTAAAAAAATATACATGTAATATACAATATATTATTTAGAATACTGTGTCAATTTGTCAACTAATTAAAAATTCAATCTTATGATTTTAAAGAAATTATATCTTAATATACTGTATAAACACAAATAACCATAGTAAAATGATTATAATAATAATGATAATAATAATCAAATTTAATTGAATAATTATATTGAAGTAATATGTACATTTATAATATAAAAAATTCTAACATTAAAAATATGATCTTTAGGCATTCTTTTAACTGATCTTGCATCTTTATACCATTGAGTAATTGTATTTCTGAATAGTTGAAATGCTGTTTCATCAGAAAATAATAAAAAAATTTGTAAAAGAAATATTAATTACAGTATGTAAATATTTTTAAAATTTTTATTTTGATATATCTGCTATAAAAAATTATTTTGTAATATATAATTAGATAAAATTAAATTAAATAAATTATCAAAAAAACAAATTAGATGTTTTGTTTATCTACGTATTGTGTATTTTTTTTAATTTATATTTAATAAAACTATATAAAAATATCTATAACAATATATTAATATATCTAAAAAATCTATAATAATTTAATTTTTACTTATAAATTTATTATTATCATTTGATAATTAAACAAGATTATATTATTGATTAAATTTTCTGCAAACACAAATAACACTATGAAATAAATGTTTTTTATTAATCTTTTATTAATTCAAAAAAACAAACATATTTTTTAAAAAACTGTTATTTCTTTATAATAAATCTATATATTTTCTTTAATAATATTATAATTCAAAGAATTTAATTTTATTTTATTTGTTTTTTTCTCCAAAAAAAAAAATAAATCATTTATATTTTTCACAATAAATATAAAAAAAAATCATTAAAATTAAAAACAAAATACTTTGTTAAGAAATATATTTAAAAATTGTTTTTTTTCAAAATTTAATATTTCAAAAAAAAAGTTAATAAATTTTTAAAATCTATAATTTTTTAAGAAATATTTTAATTAAAAAATATTTTATATTATTTTAATTAATTCAATAAGATTTGAAATTTATTAATAAATTTAAAACAAAATATTTGCGTTATTTTATTTGTATTTAAATTTTAATATATAATATATTACAAACTTTTTAAAATTATTTATTTATTTATTTATTATTCAAAAACTATTATATAAAAATTATTAATATATATATATATAAAGTTTAAATCTAGAAATTTTATTAATAATTAATTTTTTTTTTTTTTTTTTTTTTTGTAGGTAAACATCATTTCTTTATTTGATTTGTATATAGCAAGGTATACATCGTG